TTTCTCTTTTACATTGTTTCTGTGTTTCTTATTTAATAAGATGGTTGGTTACATCTACAGTCATTTGTGTTTAGAATACAATTCTAAATTCTTTTTTCCAGTTCAAGTCATATATGATGTGCTACACAGATCCTAAGTTTATTCTGGCTATCACTGTACCCTCTGTACACATCATTGAACTCAGTTTTTAGGGACTAGAATTGCTCTAAAACATTTATATTTTAGAAATTTATCATGCACTGTATCTCTTTTTATTCTTCCATATTCATCACACATATGTACTTGTGTGGCCCCTGAGAGATGGAATTCTGGAAGGAAGGCAAGATAATGTGTGTGCCTATTAGTCTTCTCACTGTTGTAAGTTTGGGTGAAAACATTGCTGCTGTGTCAAACTATCCTATGTTTCTGTGTGTATTAAAATATGTATACTTAATATTCATATATAATAAATATATACTAATACATAATATGTAAACATATATATAATATATGACTATGTAAGCATATATTTTCAAGGTGGTGGTGGTGCACACCTTTAATCCCAGCACTCGGGAGGCAGAACCAGGCAGATTTCTGTGAGTTCAAGAGCAGCCTGGTCTACAGAGTGAGCTCCAGGACAGGCACCAAAAATACACGAAGAAACCCTGTCTTGAAAAAACAAAACAAAACAAAAAAAGTATATATAATATAGTATGTATACTGTGTATAAAATTAAATAGCTTCATCTTTTTAAATGAGTTCTTTCTGCCATACTTACACATGGTATGTTTTATTATTTGTTATAATATTGTGTTAGAATCACTAAATACCATATTTTAATGTAGTAAAATGAAACATTGGTAACTTTGAAATAAAAGGATTACTATGGAATAATAATTTTTGTTGAAGCAGTTATTTCTACCTCTCTTAAAATAGATTGTTTTGTTCGTGATAACAATTTAAGGTTTTTATGAAGTAAAATACCACTGAAGAGGTATAGAAATATAATGTTATATTCTTTAACATTTCAAAATGAGAAAACATAATAAAATTTTATATAGCATATTTACACAAGTAATGCAATGAATACAACACATGCTTTACTTAAGGTAATATAAAAATGGTGCCTTGTATTAGCAATTATTATATATTATATTTAGAGAAGATAAAATATGAAATGCTCTGTTGCTTGGGCTACATTGATCTATTCTGGTCTTTTATCTTACCTCACCAAATTCAGCATTTTCACAAACGTAAGTCTCATAGTACTGTGAGAACTCAGGGGCATGGTCATTAATATTAAAAACTTGTACATATACAGGAGCTGAAGAGATCTGTTGTACATTGTCTGAAAAGTAAAGACATAGCATGCAATTAGTTATATCTCTATATAAAAACCATGCAAAAATTGAATTGGAAGCTAGTTGTATACTGTTATATTTACCTGAGGACAACTAAGGGTGGGAACTATATAATCCATACATTTATCAGTCATAGAGGCTCTAGAAAACCACTTAGAATTATAGATTGCCTGAGCTCCTAACATAACTGAAAGTCCTTTATAAGGCCATAGCAAAACATCACTCTGTTACACTAAAATTAAGTCATAACTTATAAAGTGTAAATGAATACTCAGTACAGAATGCACATACAAAGACACATACCATTAAAAGGAAATAAAACTTTAAAATTATAGAAATAAGGTATATTAAACAATGATCTTTAAAATGTCTTTGTATCTTAAAATGAACTATTACTTTTAGTGGGTTTTTGGGGGGGTGAATGAGCATTTATTTTCCTTATATTTCCATATCACATTTCATAATCAAAGGCAGTTATAGCAGCAACCCAAACAGGAAAACAATCTGGAGGGGGAGCTGATGAAGAGTCCATGGAGTAACGCTGCTTACTATCTTGATCTTCCTTGAATTATTAGCCTGATTTCTTATAACACTAAGTTCTGTAGAATAATGATTTTGTACACTGGTTTAATAAAACACAGACTGGACAATAGCCAGGCAGGAAGTATAGGTGGGATAAGCAGACAAGGAGAATGTCTTTGGGGAAGAAGAAGGCTGAGTGAAGAGATACCAGCCTGTTTTCCAGGGAGCTGCATGTAATGGCACATAAGTAAATCCACAAAACATGTGGCAACATGTAGATTAGCAGAAATGGTCTGAGTTTAAGTGTAAGAGCTAGTCAGTGGCAGGCTTGAGCTAATGGCTGAGCAGTTGTAATTAATATAAACTTCTGAGTGATTATTTTATAAGCAGGCCACAGGACTGTGGGGGCTTGTCAGGACCTACAGAAAAACTTTCAGCTACAAATGGTGCCAAAACTTGGTACCTAAAATCTGAGAAAGCTTAAAACAAAAGAAAGATTCTAAAACAAAGCTAAAAAAAGCTTCCCAGTTGTGTCTCTCAGGACAGCCGTGAGCTACAGTATAGCACATTTGCCGTGTCCTGTGGCCTTGAGTGCAGCATGGCAGATTTCCACCGTGGTACACAGTGGCATCTCCAAGCCACACAGTGCACTGCATTGCAACAGATTTAGCTTTTGCTAGTACAGAAAAAAAGAGGTTTCTGGGCTATAAGCTGCTTTAATAGAAGCATAAACCCACTGCCTCAGCAGACAGCATGGTTCCCAGAGTTGGCAGTGAATTATCTCCACCATGTTGAAAAGCAGAGATGGGTGGAGTCAGCAGCCAAAACTGTTGCTTCAGTACTAGCCACTGCAGTTTAAAGCAATAGATTCACAATAAGACAGATTCAGATGGAATGAGACTTTAAATGATTTACAGTGTGTGTAAAAATGTACATAGGCTTGGAAGAGAGAAGAAAATGAATACAGACAGTTATATAAAGAAATAGTTTTTAAAATAAAGTCTTTAAAGAGACAGTAAAGATAATATAAAAAGCCACATAAAGATGGATATTATACAGAGAGTCTGGATTATATTGTCTTTGGGATTTTTAACTGCAGAGAGACATTTGATTGTAAAAACTGCTGAGTTAAATCAATACGAATATTTAAAGGTATCTTGATTTCAAAACTTATGTCTAAGGATATGTTGCTTTGGGAAAGAGGCTCTGATTTTGTTTCTACAGAAGATGAGAGCCTGTGGAATGCTTCCAGACTAATATGGTTTGACCTGCCAAGACCCCCTGAAAGGTTTCCAATGACACCATGGCCGAGATCAACATCTAAAATCAACTTCAAGGCAATTGGTTCAGATAATGAAGCCTCACAGACTACTCCAGTCAGGACTTGACCATAATTCTTAATTTTCTCAGGGTCTCCCAAAAATTGCCAGAGCCCTCATCTAGCAGGAAGTAGTATGACCTATGCCTGAAATTTCATAGTCTATTATGGAGATTAATTTAAAGGCTGCGTTTTTTAAAACTGTATCTTTAAAAAAAATGACAGAGAAAATTTGCCTTCACTTTGCCTACTAATAATAAGTGCCAGGCTGTTAAAATGTATCATTGTAAAAATTTTCCACAAGGGATGCTAAACAGCCCTATGTTGTGCCATTATTTTATACAATAACTATTAAAAATAATTTGTAAACAGTTTCTTCAACTTATAATTAACCATTGCATGGATGAGATCTTACTAGTGATCAGAGTATATACCTTAAAAATATTTGCAGAGCTAAAGAAAAATCCGCTCTTGAGATCACAAATTGCTTCTGAAAAAACACAAATTGGAGATTCTTCTAAATACCTAGGATATAAGATAGTTTTACAAAAATTTAATCACAGAGTGAAGAAAGTTGAGGAGACACATTATGAACTATTAATGATTTTCTTTCTTTTTTTTCTTTCTTTCTTTTTTGGTGTGTGTGTGTTTTATTTTTTTTTTTTGTTTGTTTGTTTGTTTGTTTTTTTCAAGACAGGGTTTCTCTGTGTATCTTTTGAAGCGTAACTTGAAACTCACTCTGTAGACCAGGCTGGCTTCCAACTCACAGAGATCTGCCTTCATCTGGCTCCAGTGTGCTGGGATTAAAATACTGTATGACAACTGGCTGGCTTAATGACTTTCAAAAATTGCCAGAAGATAGCAATTGGCTACAGCACACAATTGGATTAACTTCTAAAGAACTAAAAAAAAAAATAGTTCAAACCATATAATGAGATGAGGCCTTAAATAGTCCAAGATAATTATTACCTGAGGCTGAATAGGAATTGGCTTTGGTGGAAAAGTAATTACAGTATGTATTTGAGAATCCTTTGGATTCAGAACCTGATTGTATTCTTTTGTTTTGCTTTGTTTTGTTTTATTTTTGAGATAGGGTTCCTCAGTGCAGTTTTGGTACCTGTCCTGGATCTTGCTCTGTAGACCAGGCTGGCCTTGAACTCACAGAGATCTGCCTGGCGCTGTCTCCCATGTGCTGGGATTAAGGTGTGCATCAACACTTCCCAGCCATTGATTGTATTCTTGTTATGGTAATTTCTATGCTTTCTCCTACAAGACTTTTTATACGGAGAGAAGATAATATCTTAGAATGAATACGTTTGCCACAAAAACAGAGTAAAAATTAAAGGCCTATGTAGAAAGGTTTCTGAATTGATTTTGAAACAAAAATTAAGGCTTCAACAATGAGCAGAAATAGACCCACCAGGAATTGTGGTGCCTTCTCCTAATACTTAAATTGCCTCCAAATAGACAGAAAATCAACATGGTTTAAGAGTTTGCACTAATTTCTTGGGAGATATTAGCAACAGATATCCCAGAAGCAAGAAACTTCAGTTTATGACAAGAACTGATTGAATTTTTCCTTTCTTAGTATGAGAAACACCTGTAACATGAATCTTAATAGTCTTATTTATAAAAAAATAAAACTCAGGAACCAGGTATTGGGGTAAATTCTGAAAGATCAGAGAAGCAAAACAAGCCACAGCTAATCTCGCCTCACCAACTTTTCAGCCAATCCTGTTTCTTCAAACTGGAAGCCTCTGAGTCCTCATCTGAATGGATCTCAGCTGAACTGCTGCTAGAAGCCTAAAAGCTTAACCAGGCTAGCTAGGCTAGTTCCTGGTCCTCATGCCTTATATGCCTTCCTGCTTTCTGCCATCACTTCCTGAGATTAAATGCATGTGTCTTTCCAAAGCAAGACATGAGGTCTTAAGTGCTGGGATTAAAGGTGTGTGTTACCATGCCTGGCTGTTTCTAGTGTGGCTTTGAACTCACAGAGATCTGGATGCATCTCTGCCTTCAGAATGCTAGGATTAAAAGCATGTGTTACCACTGCCTAGCCTCTATCTAGTAGATATTCAGTTCTCAGACCCCCAGATAAGTTTATTGGGGTGTATAATAACCAACCACTAACACCAATTTCTAAAATACCTCATTTCATAAAGTTGCAAAAAAGTAAGAAAAGGCAAGTTATAAGTCAGGAAACTTAAGTAATATGGCTCAAAACCCTGATGATTCTGTTCAAAATTAAGAATTATGTGCTATACTCATGGTACTATTAGATGTTCCCCAAACTTTTAATATAAGAACTGATTTTCAATATATTTGAATATTTTTACATATTTAAACCACTGGATATATCCTGAAGTTGATTCATAATTAACCTTCCTATTTATTCAATTACAAGAAATAATCAAAAATAGAAATCATCTCTCGTATATAAAACTTATCAGATCCTATACTGGTTACAAGGCCCTCTAGCACAACATACAGATAAAATTGATCTGGTATTGGTAGCAAATATGCTAGTAGCTTCAGAATTTCATAAGTAATACCATGTTATTTGCAAGGGATTAAAGAAAGAGGTTTTTTTATGACTTGGTAACAAGCAAAGGAAATGTCCTACTTGTTCTTTGTGTAACCAAACACCACCACCTGTAGGAAGTAATGTAAAATATTCTCAAAGAAATTAAATTTGGCAAATGTATGTGTTTCATTTTGCAAGTTTGTTTGTTTGTTTGTTTTTTCGAGACAGGGCTTCCCTGTGTAGCTTTGTGCCTTTTCTGGAACTCATGTGGAAGCCCAGTCTGGCCTCGAACTCACAGCTCTGCCTCCCGAGTGCTGGGATTAAAGGCGTGCACCACCACCGCCCGGCTTCATTTTGCAAAGTTTGAAAAATTAAAATATGTGCACCGTACCCTAGATACATAGTCAGGATTCCATGGGCTACTGCATTGAGTTATGAAAAGGCTGATTCTGTTATTATACAATTATTAGACCTTATAGCCACCATGGGAGTATCTGTACAAATTAAGACTGACAATGATCTAGCATATGTCTCTAGTAAAATGAAACATTTTTTTCATATTACAATATAAAGCATATTACAGGTATACTACACAATCTTATAGGATAAGTATTTATATAAAG